GGGGGGGGGGGAAAGGATAAAAATATATAAAAATTGATGTGTTTATTAATTATTATTGGAAGTATATTTATGAGGATGATCCTGGCTGTTACCCCAAACTGCTTCTGGTTGGTGCTTGAGAAAGAGGTTGGGAAGTAGGGAGTGGAAGGAGGAAGGTGGAGTGGTTGAGAGTTTAGAGGGAGGAAGGTTTGGTAGGTGAAAGAGGGGGAAGCAGGGAGGGGGCAGCCGGGAACACCCGTAAAGTATTTTTTCTTTTGTGTACTGATGTTTTGTATTTATATGCATCAACTTTATGTTTATATTTTGTTATACTTGAAAATAATAAAAATTTTAAAACAGTATTCTTTAACCTTGCTTAACAACCGCCAGGACCTGCGGACGTAACGGGCAGACTCCACGACGGTCGTAGGTGTAGGACTACCTCTGTTAGACCCCTTAAAAACTCAACCAAGAGAGAAATGTTTTTGTTTTCACTTCAGACACAATTATCCGAGCGGTGCTGATCTTCGCTGAAGGCATCTTTGAAAACGAGAGCCACGTGATCCACCCCACTCTTCAGAATCTCTCGAGCAACATAAAAGTCCTGCTCTCTCCGCCGAAGGACGTCCCGGTGGAGCTGAACATCAAAGCCCTGGTGGGATACAAGAAGAGGTGAGTGAGGGCTTGGCAGGTTTCCCATAAACTGCCTCTTCCCAACCCCTTTGATGGGCTGAGCTGTTTTTGCTGTTGGGCTTTATGAGAAAAACAGGGACCCTGAATTATGTGGGAGAAGACGGGACAGCCCGAATGCATAGAGAAATATGATAATTTCTAAGCCCTCAGGCAGGTTTTTGAGTAAGTGCCAGCATTTTGCATTCAGCAAGTTTTTAAAAAAAAAATATTTTGAAGGAACAAATGCTCTATATCGGTTTACAGATTTTCCCCCCCCCCTTTTGTTCAATCATGTCTGACACTCAGAGTCTGCTTGGATATGTCCCTGCAGTTTTCTCGGCAAGGTTTTTCAGAATGGCAAGGTTTTTGCCATTGCCTCCTTCCTAGGGCTGAAAGAAAGTGACTGGCCCATGGTGCCAGAGCTGACTTTGTGCCTAAGGCTGGACTAAAACTCACAGTCTACTTCAGTTGAGGCTGCTCAACACATTTTCCTTTCTCTTCCCCATCTGTCATTTCCAACAAAAATTCTGAATTCTGGAGAATCCAGGTAAGTACATTTAAAAGCCCTCTCACAGTGAAAACAATAGTTTCTTTTCAAATCCTGTCCTTCAATGAAAACCTAATTTGCACTTAGCAGCCTTCCATGCAGAGGCATAAAGTGTTTTCGTTTTTCCATTTGCACGTGGTGTGCGTTTTTTTAGCCCAGTCTTGGCAGTAGCAGGAAGAACAAGGCATGCAGACTTTTGAGGAATTTGTAGGAGTTGGAATAACTCCTCATTCTTAGGCAGCTGGAAGAGAAGGCAGATAAGGAGCTGCAGAAGTCACGAAACTACATTCCCTCATTTGCATCTGGAAATGTCCAGCTGTGCTTGGGCCTTGAACGTGTACATCTCTTGTTCTTTTAAGCATCACTCACGAGATCCAGAAACTTCTAAAGAAGGGCTCATAGTCCCAGTGACACCATATATTCCAGAAAATTACTTGATTGCATCCTTAAGCTCTCTGTGGCAGCAGGCACATGAGAGACATTTTACATCAGTGGTTCTCAACCTGTGGGTCGGGACCCCATTTGGGGTCGATCGACCATTTCACGGGGGTCGCCAAGCAAGGCTGTCCGCCATTTTTTCCCCCTTTTCCGGCGGGTGCCTTACCTCCCTTGAGCTGGGCCAGCTGGTGGTCGGCCTGCTCCGTCTCTGCCGCTTGCCAGCTACACCCCGGCCGGCGCAGGGGGCGGAACCGCGCATGCGTGGCGCTCCCGGGCAGGGAAAGTCCTCGACTTACGACCGGTTTAGTCCTCGACCTACGACCGGTTTAGTCCTTGACTTACGACCGGTTGGGGTCGCGGCATTAAAAAGGTTGAGAACCACTGTTTTACATAATAACACAAAGAGGGACAGAACAGCCAAAAACAAAGAGAAAATAGAATCGAGGTGATCCTTGGCTTTCTGTCAATGTGAAATGAATGTCAGGATCAGGGCATCCTGAAAGAAAGAGCCATGGTTTGCTGAGATGGCCTTCCCCTGAAGGAAGGCGAAGGATTACACGCGCATTTGTTAAGCCCACCTTGATTATTTTGTTTCATGCTTTCCCAGCACGCAGTTCCATGTTTTTGAACTGTCCCGACAACTCCCTCGCTTCTCGATGTATTCGCTCTGCAGCCCAGACTCTGCGACCAGACCTCTG